AAATGCACAGGCTGGAGGGGAGCGAGCCTCTGGCCTGCACAGATCATTGCCCTTGAGCAGTGACAGGGCACAGGTGTCAGAAGCAGGATGGTGAGGAGGAGGTCAAGGATAGCCTGGGAAGACCCCGAGAGGGTGGATGGCATTTTCCCGGGCAGCTGGTTCAAGTGGCCAGCTATTCAGATGTCTCCAGTAGTAGAAGCGTAAAAGTTGGCCAGCAGTGGGGTTGTCCGCTCCAAGAAGGCAAGCAATAGGGAAAGAAGAGGGGACCCTGCCAGCTGAGCCGGCTCTGGTAGTCCACATCTGTCATTCCAGTCTTGAGACTGAGGCAGGAGAATCTTCAGCTTGAGCTGAGCTTGCGCTATACAGGGAAACGAAGGGAAACGCAGACAGCACACTTTAAAAGTAAAGCAGGTAGTGATAGGCAGTGAGAAAAACCAAGGAGGGTTGAGAGTTTGTGCTCTGTTGGGTAGAGGCTGTGGGCTTGGATCAGAGGCCTCCTGGGGGCAATTTCTGAGCCAATCCTGAAGGAGGTAAAGGGTGAGCCCTGAGGGTAGGTGAGGAACAGCATTTCAGACAGGGAACACAGTGCGCGATGGCCTTGAGGACTGAGTGACACAGTCCACGTCCAGTGAGGGTGAGCAGTCTGGACAGCATTGCCTCAGAGCTCAATCTGAAGAGCAGAGGCTGCTGCCTGGCCCTTCCCTGCCTGAGCTCCCTTCCTAGTCTTTGACTGCAGAAGGAAGTAGCGCAGACAGGCGGGGCTGAGAGGTAGCTCAGCTTTAGGAGCACTTGCTGCTCTTGCAAAGGACCTGAGTTTGGTTCCCAGCACCCAGTCTCTAGCTTCAGGGGATCTGACACCCGCTTTTGACCTCCTTGGGCACCCTTACCTGTGCTCATACCCACATACAGACACTCTAGCTGGACTTTAAAATAGAAGGTCTTACATCTACTTAAAAATGAAAGAGGAAGAAGGAGTGTGAGGAGATGGCTTGTAAGCATGAGGACCTGGGTTTAGATGCCCAGCGCCCACCTAAGCATAGCTGTGTGCATGTGTCTGTAACCCCCGCACTGGGAAGATGGCAGGCAGAGACTCTGGATTCGATTCTCTTTGGCAACCTCATCAAGCTACAACTGAGCTTGTGTTTCATTGAGAGATCCTGCCTCAGAAATCGTGTGCAGCCTTTGGTGGTGGTGGCATTGCACGCCTTTAATCCCAGCAGTTGAGAGGCAGTAGAAGGAGACTCTCTGAGTTCAAGGCCAGCCTGGTCTACAAAGTGAGTTCCAGGACAGCCGGAGCTACACAGAGAAACCCTGTAGACAGAAGTTTCTGTCCCGCTGCTCCCGCAGCCATTTAGTCCCAAATAAACACACTATTTGCCCGATGGCTCGGGCTTCTTATTGGCTAGCTCCCTCTTAATTATTAATCATTTCTATGAGCATACGATGGACATCCCCCATCAAAACGTTCAGGGTGGGTGGAAAACCCGTGCTCAGTGATTAAGACACCTGGTGTTGATCCCTGCCAACTAACTACACACACTCATTTGTATTTGTAGGCACACTTAATGCACTCATATGCCATACATAGACCTCCCAAGTTAAGACATAAAAGTTCTTAAGAACTTTTAAGACACACTGGTTCTGGAGGATGTTTGGGTTCCTACTGCTCAAGAGGCTGAGCCAGGAGAATCAAAGAGTTTGAGACCAGGCTGGACGACAGAGTGAGACCCTAGAGAGAGAAGACGTGGGAATTAAATGAGATAATTTCAAGTGCTGTGATGCAAACCGCATAATGTAGTTATGTTGCCTGTGTGTGTGGGGGGGGGGGTCCCCTTTCCTGTGAGTTATTTCTGGTGAGCCCTCTGCATCCAGGAGCAGCCGGCAGGAGGACCTGTGTGCATGTCAAAGGCAAGGTTTTACCGGCAGCTCTGTGTGTCAGGGTGTGGGAATGTGCATTCTCTAATTATCGGGGGGGGGGCACTTAATGAGGGTGTAGAGTGTGTGGCTCCACTCCTATCAGCTCCACTTTCTCGGGCAATCTCCCCCTGTGATAGGGGTGTTTGTGGTTCCCATTGCAATGGTGGATTATAGGGTTGGAGAAATGGCTTAGTGACTAAGAGCATCTGCCGCTCTTCCAGAA